TATACAGCAATTTTAATTTTAATTTTAATTCACGGAAGACAGTCGTGTTGTGATGTGTGTGTCAGTGTCTACTTCTCAGATTCTGCAGGGAACAGCCACATCCGACAGTCCCTCACTGACAGAGGACTGGAATGGAACAAAGCCAGAAAGAAAACTGCTGATAGAGACGTCTGGCGATCTTTCTGGCAAACCTCTACACCCCAAGGTAGAAGAGGAGCGACTAAGAAGAAGAAGTGTCAGTGTCACTGTTTCTAGTCAGTGGGTCGGATTTTTGGGAACTAGCTGTTTATTACTTTTCTACTTTAAATGTAGAAATCTTACATAGGGATGGGATGGGGAATTCCTGGTACATTACATGGCGCAGTGTGTTGTTTTGTATGGGAGATTTCCGCAGAGTGATTGGTTTTGTTCACGGCCAGCTCCAGATTTATAGAATATGCAGCCGGACGTGCCTTAAATACACGGCCTTCTCTATTTATAGGCCAAACATGTAATGTACCGGGAATTTCCCATCCCATCCTATCACTACCTAAAATCACGGCCGGCTCCAGATTTATAAGGCCGTACAGCTCGAACGGGGATTCCCCTTCTTGTGCAAGAATGGAGTCACTCTGCGTACACAGTTTTTATCTAGGAGATGTATTAAAAAAGTTGCGTATCCTTTACAGGACGTTGCAGAACCAACCCTCAGCCCCTGGCTGTTGTGTGGTTTCTCTAGGCAATTTACATCCAGTAGTTTGCCATTGCGCTCTGGACGGTCGGCTTTCTTGATACCACTGTCGAAACCAACGCAAGGCGCATTGCCCGCAGCTGGGATCGAACCTGGCATCCCGGCATTACGAAGCGAAGCGTTCGCATCGACTTAGCCACAGAGCCGACAGGAGATGTATACACAAATTAAACTACAGTTTCATTAATTTTCGACATATTTATAGAACTATACGTCATTTTTAAGGTAAATAAGTGTGCTATTTAAATATAACAATAAAGGTTCTTACTGACAAACGAAAATGCTTTTGCTACAATCAACATTAACATAAACATCAATAATGTTTGGATATAAACTGAAAGTTATTCCAGCAAAAGTAAAGAAATATCAGAAATACTGCTGTGAAACATACACATGTCATATATAACATAAATATAAATTATTGATGGTTATTATTACTATTAGTAGACTACTACAACAAATAATTATACTGTTATTTAATAATTAGTAAACAAGAACAGTCAATATGAAATTGATATGTGCAATAACCTTTCACCCAGTGCAGTTTTCTTAACAGTACTTATAGCACTACGAAATATTTATCCTCAAGGTACAAACAGCACAAACAAATTTGTCCAGTTTCATCTTGTTGAATGAAATCAATTCCTTATCACTGCAAATTTTTTGGTAACTTTAAAAATACATCACACATATTTCTGAATACTGCATGCAACAACGCGTATAAGTATCATGAACGTTATATTATTTTAAAGGTAATTAAAGCAAATTAAAAAAGACCATATAACTGCAAATACTGTGCAACATATACATATCAAACACAAAAATTCCCCATATAGATACCGGATCTAGTTCAAAACAGTGTCTGGAACAAGACTAAGGCCCAAAATTAGATGAACAACCAAAAATATCTGCCAGAGTTTACAGCCAGTGTTCGCGAAGCAAAAGCCAATTTACAAAAATTAACACAGACCGTACAACTGCAAATATGCTTAACAAGTAGATGAACAACCAGAAGTTTCTGCCAGAATTTACAGCCAGTGTTCGCGAAGCAGAAGCCTTCTTCTTGATCTTCTTCACTTCCTCTTTTACCGCTGTGGGTGTCGAGGGAGATATAAGATTCTGTTTCTAGCTCTTCTGGCTGCCTCGACCATAGGCACATCGTGCTGTTAAAGAGTTTCACTGATGTTATCCTTCCATCTTGTTCTTGGTCTACCCCGTGGTCTACGTCCTTCTTCTCTTTCCATGTATGCTTTGTATGGTATGGTGTCACAAGGCATTCTCTCTAAGTGGGCAAACCATTTCACTTGCTGTCTTTGTGTGTAATCCAGAATTTGTTCTGTGCCGACTATTTTTATTATGACAATGCAACTGAAGTGACGATGCTAACGTTCATTTATTATTCAAACAAGTTGGAAATAGATGCATTTTATTTAAAAGTGAGTATTTTTTAATTATTAGAAAATATTGTAGTAAATTTTACATTATAATGGTTTACGATACTGTTTCATTAAATTGCCGTAGGCTAGGCCCTAGGTCGCTAGAGTGTATTAAGTTTACACAATGACAGTTTTCTCAATTGTAGTGTTAATAATCTTCCTACACTTGGCTAGGGCCACTGGCCCGCGACGATTTCCCTTTTCAAGATTTTGGCCCGCGAGTAAACTTAGTTGAATAGCCCTGCTCTAATCCCAGATGCTCCGTTTTTCGCCACACTCTCCGGAGGGGGAAACTTGGCGGACTTTTAATCATCTTGCGATTGGTACTATTAGCTTGTCGCCTCCTGGATGGCTAATGAAGAGGGGGACGGAGCACGCGTTGGAATGTACAGAGTTCAGTTATGTCAATACTTGACTCATTCATTCATTTTCACGAGATACAATTTATTACATTCCTTTGAAGACGGAGTGCATCTGCCTGAGAGGCAAGGAACCAGCAGTCTGCATTCAATTGAATCAGATCTGTAAAAAAATGATGCACACGCAACACTCAGGTTCTGGAGCAGGACTGTAGTCCAGAAGTGGACGAACAACCAGAACTTTACGCCAGAGTGTACAGCTGGTAAACGCGAAGAAAAAGAAGAATTTATTATAACTTACTATTACTAAAGAGATGTAGCGTATATTATTTATACGAAACTTCTGGCAACTAGCAGTCGCCGGAAGTGAAGAGAAACGGAAGTTTTTCCACAAAAGATTTGTTGAGTCTGCCAGAACACGATTTCAGGAAGATAAAACTTCGCTGTTTCTTGTCATGGATTCAGAAGACGACGTTCAGCGTATGTTATCGTTGAAGTTCACTTATGTTATTTTTGACTGGATATGGGTATAATTGTCGTGGATATTTTGATACGGGAAATCGAAGTTTCAACGTCAGCTTGAACTTGGTTATTTTATAATAATTCCTATTGACTTTTTTTATTCTTCAGTGTTTTTTTTTTTTTTTTTTTTGGTATTTTCTTTCCCCATTCCAAGCTATTGTTGTCCGAAAAGCTGTAGTTGTGAAAAGAAAAATTCCAAATTACAGATGAGTAGGATGATGCCATTAAAAAACATTAATCATTATTGCCACCGAAAATTAATAATCTCGCAGAAAGTATTTAGGGCACCAAATAACAGCACCATGACCATGTTATTATTTATTATGGCGGCCAATAAAACACCCTGACAGGGCCTCATTAGGTCATGTGTTGTAAACATTCAAAAACTTGAACTCAAAAATAATAAGGAACGAAAAAAAGGAAAATGAAATGACTACTTACCGATGATTGACACCTTTGCCTTTATATCTGAAAATTGTGGCACAGAAGTTGCAAATAGTGCCTGAAAATCTGCTTTTTGTGGCTGTATCGCCATTGAAATTCTGCTAAATATAATCGGAACAAGGCGCGACTAGTGCCGTATTGATAACGCAGTTTTAGTTTTAGTAGCATCCACAGACCTTCAATGGTTTGAGTGTAAACGCCACTGTCTGCGGGGTCAAGGAAATTAGCATCGTGCACGACAATGGCATGGTCATAAATGCCATGTTTCAATTTGCCAGTGTTGCTGTAGCCTGGGCAAGACGTGATCAGTTATCGCGTGCTCCATTGTCGGAGCATCTCGCCTCAGGACAACCTCAGACCAGCAACAGCAAGTGTCGTGCTCTACTAGCCCGATGACCCACTGACTGGTGAATGCAACCACGTTGGTTTTCTCATTGGAAGAAATAGCCCTCCTCCACTTCTACTACAACAGATTTCCCGTCGGCATCAAATCCTCCCACTTCAGCACTCGTTGTCAATGACCAATTATAACATTCCTGACAAAAATAGTTGTTGTAGTTGACAATGGTGTCCCAGCTCATCAGTCTCTCGAAAAACATGACATGCGTTAATTTAACTTCGAAGAGCCAGTAGAACATCATTATAACTATTTTCTCCGTGGGCATTTCGGGAGCCTGTCCGCACGCTGCAGCAAGTATTACAGCAATGACAGCGCCGCGAGTATCTGTCAGAACAGTCCTGCCACGCAATTTATGACATAGGTTGTTGGCAGGAAGAACACACCTGCCCGTTCTGAATAAGCCTGTGCGCAGCTAGCCACTGCAACCACTGCAGGTTATCTGTCATTATTACATACAAGTCGACAGGTCTAACATCTACACCTGCCAGTTCTTGAGCGGGAAGAACGGTATCGCTAAGCTGCATGCGAACTTGAAATTATGCCAGCCAAGAACATAGCCTAATGGGGCGTCACTCGCATGTAAATTGTGGACTTCTTTCCGGCAAACATACCACCACCGCCGAGAGTCCCCCCCCCCCACGCTGCTACGCGCGGCGCAGATCGGGGCTATACTAGATGGCTGGGACTCATGAGCAAATAAAATTAAGAAGCTGCACAAGATGCGATAGCTGCTGCTCGTGAGTTCCAGCCATCTAGTTTAGCCCCGATCCGCGTGTAGCGGCGCAGGGAAGACTCGGTGTCAGGTTTAACTCAGTGGTTTGTTGCATTTTATGACATCATCGCCGAAAATTAATCCTACTTTTGTCGTGGCTTTTTTGCCGGAAAAAAGTCCGCAATTTACATGTGATTGAGGCCCTGTCAGTGTTTTTGTTTTTGGCTGCCATAATATGTGGCCGTTATTCGGAGGATAGCCATAATTAGTAATAATTAATAAATTTAGCTTATGTCATCATAAGTCATTTGATCTGTTAAAATTAATCCAGTAATTCTAAGTTAAATTTTCACACATCAGTTACAGATTTTAACCTTTTCACTTTAACTGTTTTAAGGTGATGATGATAATGCCTCTGTAGATGACGAAATACAGAATGTGGCTGTATTGCCTGAGGTGAGTCACATTTGATCTATCTGTGTTGTTGTAAACTAGAAAGTTAGCATGGTTACAGCAGTTATTTCCTGACTAAAACATGGCTGCAATATTTGCACCTTTTGGCCCACACAAGCAACCTGCAGGCAGTTGTTGCCCAGATTAGCTTCCCGGTTCTTTTCTTTTATTTCACCTCATTATCTAACCTCCAAAATTTCCTAGAGAGTTTCCAGGGAAGTCCTGTATTCTAGTTTTTTTTTTTTACATGACTGCGTTTCGGTATTCATACATTGTGCAAAAAGTGTGTGCACCGGGTTGACAAACTGTCTTCCACGCGAAAGTGCATAACTTTCTTTTGTCTGAATAATTTTCATTCCGTGTGAATGTGCTGGTTGTTTTCAGTGTTTATTGTTATAATTTTCAATGAGTGTTACTTTCGTTTGTTCGGGTGAAAGGAACACTGACTAACCCTAACACCCCTAGACTGTGGGACTTTCCCAGGAATTCCCCATGACATCTCAGAGGTCCTGATATGGGTTTTAAAACAAAAGAAAAGGACCGCCTTCCCTGTTAGTTTCATGGGACACTGCAGGTCTCACTGCTGTGTGGTCATCCTTGTTTCCTAGTTTACTGGGGAGATCCCCCCCCGCCCAGACCCTCTCCAATCAAGCTGGTTTAGAAAAGCCATATAATGCTGATCACCCCCTAGGAGATGGCAGAAGCAGAACTTGAGCATTCCCCACCATCCAAGGATGCCTTCATTATTGCAAAGCTCTTACATGGTGCTCTAGTACTGAACCACCCAAGTAATCATCACGTCTTCTTATGACTGTTTAACCTCACTTCCATGTATTGAGCCTCTCATTTACTATGGGCTATGCCTTTAGAAGCCATGAAGTATTTTGATGGCCTACACAAAATGAGTACTTTGCTTCTCATGCATGTTAGACTTTTACTGCAGTGGAGTGTTTTCCTGGGGCATTTGAGTTTTAAAGTTGCCTTTCTGTTGCTACACCCGTATTTTACCAGGGTCACTAAGAGAAGTAAAGTAAAGAAATATTTCATGTGAGGCAGTTAAAGAAGGTTACCATGAGACTTGCAATTTCACCTCATTAGATAGTTTTAGCTGCAAAATCCAGCCAGTCATAAGTCTGTTTAAAAAAAAACCTAAAGTGAGTTGACTTAGGACATCTATACATTGTGGGGTGGAGGGGGGATAGACCCACTGCCCCCCTAACAAGCATGTCCTAAGAGTCGACTAATTAGGAATGATTCCTTCGAAGTGGGAGTGCATGTGCCTGAGAAGCAAAGAACAAAGTCTGCTTACAGATAAGCCAGATCTGTAAAACAAATGTATGTACATGTAAAAATTAGGTTCTGGGACAAGACCAAAGTACAGAAGTGAACGAACAGCCGCAACTTTCCACTAGAGTCTACGGCCAGTGAACACGAAGAAAAAAAAAAGAAGCAATAGTGGTAGTATTTCTTCACTGAAGCCCACACACTGAGATTTCTGGAATGAGCAGTCAGTTAAATCTTATTGTATAGAGCGTTGACAATTCAAGCTGTGTGACTTGAAAAATGGGGGGTCAGGTGATGTTTTAGTTCCACTGTAAGACTTAGTACTATTATGAGACTTAGCTCCTTAGTGAGACTTTGTTCCATCATGAGTCCTAGTACTATTATGAGACTTAGCTCTGTAGTGAGACTTTGTTCCATCCTGAGTCCCAGCACTATTATGAGACTTAGCTCCTTAGTGAGACTTTGTTCCATCATGAGTCCTAGTACTATTATGAAACTTAGCTCTGTAGTGAGACTTTGTTCCATCATGAGTCCTAGTACTATTATGAAACTTAGCTCTGTAGTGAGACTTTGTTCCATCATGAGTCCTAGGACTTTTATGAGACTTAGTTCTATAATGAGTCTTTGTTCTCTCATTTTACTTTTTTCCCATTGTGAGCCTTTGTTCCATCATGAATCTTAGTTCTGTCATGAGTTCTAGTCCCACCATAAGACATAGTTTTAACATGAGCTCACTAGTTATTGCCTCCCTGGGTGGGTTCCAGAACCCCATTTGAAGGGGTGGGGGAGGGGGGTGGACTCAGTCATAACCAGTAGATTAAAAAAGACATCTAATAGTGGTGTGTTGTCTTCAAAGTAACAGTGCATCTGCATGAGAGTGAGGAACCAGCAGTCTGCATACAAATAAGCCAGATCTGTAAAATGGATCTGCATGCACAACATAAGTTCTGAAGCAAGATCGAAGATTAGAAGTGGACGAACAGCCAGAAATTTCTGCCCAAGTTTACAGCCGGTGAACACTAGGAAGGAGATGTTGTCTGCCACCATCAAGGGTAAAAAGCACGTGAGAAGTCAACTAAAAGACAAATACTGCATCTGGGCTGTGAACAGATGCAAAGTAAACACCATCCAATAAATGAATCTAAACCCTGAGCAAAAACACATATAAGAGAGTAATTAATATATTCAGACATCATGCATATATCATTGATAATTTTTTTTTACATGTCAGTGGTAATTCTAACAATGCTTTTTGATTGTCTTTAGCATGAAGTAGGCATATTTAAAGAAGAAGTGATGGAGCAAGATGAAAGTAGGTCAGCATCACCAGCTCTGAGCGACCGCTCTGTGCAAAGTCCTGTGAGATCCCTATCTCCCGATCACAATTCAGGAGGAAGCAGGTACTACATCATGTTTTGAGGCTTAAGTGGACGTTGACTGCATCTTCTCGGGTAATTCAGAGAATCTATGGTAGTGTAGCGACTAGGCCCTCGCCTGAATGGCTTGAGTTTGAATGCGTGGCAGACCTGTTCGGAGAAGGGGAAAAAAAAAAGAATAACCATGTTGACTCCCAGGTCGGCTCAGCCTAAAATGGATACCAGGAAATGCCTGGGGAAATAATGGTTGGTGGTTTGGTGTAGATCACATTACACACATAGGTTAGATCGGTCTATACCAGTATAGATCTAGTATCGTATGTCTGATGCTCAAAAAGCTTGGAAAAACGGTCCTTCATTTTTTTTTACTCACTTTTAATTTCTAAATTACATACAAAGACAGCAAATCAAAGGGTTTGCCCACTTGAAGAGAATGCCTTCTTATGCTATACCATACAAGGCATGTATACCAAAGAGGAGAGGGACGTAGAGCAAGAGTTAGAACAAGATGGAAAGATAATATCAGAGAAACTCTACAGCACCCCGATGTGTCTATGGTCAAAGCAGCCAGAAGAGCACGAAGCAGGACCTTGTACCTCTCCTGACACCCGTAGTGTTAAAAAAAGAAGTAAAGAAGAAGAAGAATCGTGTAGTCTCTTGTGATTGCATTTTTAAGATTACACCTTCAGCTGTATAATACAGCATGTGTACTTGCAAATTGCAAGTCCACATGTGAATGTAAAACCATTCACATCTGAATTTCACAAATTGCTTCAGTGCTTTCCCTCCATGTGGTTTTGGGGGGAGAAAAAAGAATAGACTCACTGCCCATAACCAAAAAAAAAAAAAAACTAATAAATTTTTTTTTTTTTTTAAATGTATTCTTTACATGGTGTGGCAGAACCAAACCCTAATTTTGTTGTGCTGGTTTGGTTTTATTAGACAAGTTTTCAATAGTTTGCAATTGTTTACTGAGCGGTCAGCAGTTGATACCCTACCTATGTTGTTATCAATGCAAGGCGGTCTGCTGTCAAATCGCCAATAGCTGTAAGTGCATGTTTAGCTGCACTTTTAAAAATGGATGCAGAAGAAGAAGAAGATAACATTTCTGACGTGTATAAGGAGATGTGTGCCTAACACTGTGTAATATGAGAATTTATTTCACATGTGGCCCTAAAATGTTGTAATGTTGTAAATTCCTGGGGAGATCCCTGAGAGTTCCAGATTGGGGGGACAAGTCAGAGGACCAGTGAGACAAGAGGAAAGCGAGATAAGCGGGTCTTGAGTAACCCGTGGTGAGTGAAGAGGGATGTGAGGAAAGCGTGAGACTGGAACAGAAGATGTGAACCCAGAGAGGGTAGAAAGGCATTTGAAGTTGGGACCTGGATGTGTACGGTCGAATGTGAGAGATCAAGTGATGAGAATGAAGAACGTCTGACCACGTGTACTTGTTCGAGAGCAGAAATGAATCTTCTGATTGCAAGTTTCAACTGTGTACAAATACCAAGTACAGTACGTTAGTATGATACAGATGTATGATCCGAAAGGTAATGGTAGAGAGAATCACCATGTGAGATGGTTGACCAGGTCATCATGAATCAGCCATGCGTAGCGACTACAATAACACAAGGAACGCATGGATAGTGCGCTTGTTGTAACAGTGAATAAAAATCTATAACTTAATGTTCATCATCTGGTGTATTCTTAGCAACTGTGTGTACCTAAGAACATCATTATGGCAATGTGACGAGTTGAACCAAACCCCTAGCAGAGCACATTGCAAATATTTTCATATATATTTCCTACAGTTATTTATTGTCAGTGACTCTTACATCTTAGGGCATCATCTCCTGGTCAGAGAAGTCATCCAACATCCAGAGAGAGTAGTCCAGCCAGATCACCTGCAGGGAGTGGACCTCATTCACCTGCTGAAGATGGACCAGCCTCTCCATTGGAGGAGGCACCACAGTCACCTATGGAAGATGATGAACCACAGTCTCCAGCTAGATCCGGTCCTGCTTCTCCCCCCGGCTCTCCAGACAGAAGTCCAGAAGCTGAAGCAAGTGGGGGCTCACATCATGAGGAAGAGCAGCAGGAAAATGCTTCTGGTGGCGAGGGTTCTCCAGCTGGTAGCGTTCGAAGCAGATCTCGCTCAGGTATTTGTAAGTGTGTATCAGCACAAAGAGACATCTTATTCAAAGCATATTTATTCCAACTCTGTGCTACCAGTGCCAGACATGGTCACTCACAACAAACCATAAAAGAAAATTAGTAACCATGGAGATGAGATGTCTGAGAAGGGCTGTGGGAGTGACCATAAGAGAAGATCAGGAATGAGATCATAAGAGAAAAAGTCGGCACAGAATCAATTCTAAATTACATATGAAGACAGCAGGTGAAATGGTTTGCCCACTTAGAGAGAATGCCTTGTGACACCATACCATACAAAGCATACATGGAAAGAGAAGAAGGACGTAGAGCACGAGGTAGACCAAGAACAAGATGGAAGGATAACAGAGAAACTCTACAACAGCACGATGTGCCTATGGTCGAGGCGGCCAAAAGAGCTAGAGACAGAACCTTATATCTTCCTCGACACCCACAGCGGTAAAAGAGGAAGTGAAGAAGAAGAAGTATGAGAGTGAGTAAAATAGAGAGAGGGTGGGAGAAATAAGGATTAAACATTAAAAGACCCTTTTAATTCCTTAGGTGGATAAGACATATGGGTCTAACAACATATTTTTTTAATTGACTAATAAGGACTAGTTGGGAAGTTTACCTCCTCCTTAGCACCATGTGGTTAACAAGACTTCTGTGGTTTACATCTACATTGTAAACTGTCATAAATGCCTGTATTTGCCACTTTTGCATGTGGGGGGGGTGCGGCTGTGCAGGTTAAGATTTAATTTTTTTTTTTTTGGGTCATTACCAGAAATCAGAACACTTATCAAGGGAAAATACAAGGAATTGTGGAGAGAACAAACCAACAGTAAACATTAGCAGGCTTAACAGAAAGCAACATACAACAGTTTTTCATCTATGAACAGGACACTGCAGGCTAAACTACCACATGCATACAATAAAGATTGTACAGTCCCACCAGTGTGCCTGTCAAACAGGACCACAGACACCTGAGCACATTCTGCAGACCTGCCCACTCTACATACAACTTCGCAAAGTGTGCAGAGCGAGCTATGGGGAACCATGAAGGACCTGCTACTGACATTCGAGTTCATAGAAGCAACCCTCCTGATGGTCTGATCTGAGCAAACGAAACCGAACGCAGAGAAGAAGAAGATTGCAAATCATAATTTCTCTTGGTATACCCCTGGCTCTTCTACCACTGGTCCATTCCTGTAATCAAAATGTTTTGCAGCACCCCTTTCATCTCCTGATAAAGGGACACTATTTGTCTCTTTAGTTAGTAGCATGTGTTCCGCTTTTATTAAATTTTCCAGGCAGTTGTCATTACTTACTCTGGCTTGCCTGTCCAAGAACTTCGCAACATTTGTCTCAGAAACCAGAAATCTCCTCTGCCTGCAAGCTTGTCTGAACATAAAGGTCAGATACATTTATGAATTGTTGATTACTTCAGCAGTAAAATAACTCATGAATACTTGTCTACATTTTATAGGAAGCTCGAACAGGAGTGGCCCAGCTTCACCTGCAGCTTCTCGTTCACGGTCAAGATCGGCATCACCAGGACAGAGGTCACGATCGGGTTCACCGGCTCAGAGGTCAAGATCGGGGTCACCAGTTCAGAGGTCAAGATCAGGTTCACCGGTTCAGAGGTCAAGATCAGGTTCACCAGTGCAGAGGTCAAGATCAGGTTCACCAGTGCAGAGGTCAAGATCGGGTTCACCAGTGCAGAGGTCAAGATCAGGTTCACCAGCTCATTCTGAACCTCGATCAAGGTCTGGGAGTCCTGCTCGGTCTCGCTCAGGTTACATTCGCTTTTTTTTTTTATAAATGTAATTCATTCATCATTATTATTATTATTACAGAAATCCCAGTGTGGGTTCCAGAGCCATGTGGGGGAGGGGGGGCCTCAGCGCACTGGCACCCTAATGTGTATGTTGTAAAAATCTACTAATTACTGGTGTTGCCTGCTTACAAATAAGCCAGATGTGCATGCATAACTAAAGTTCTAGAACAAGATTAAAGACCAGAAGTGGATGAACAACCAGAACTTCCTGCTGGAGTTTACAGTTGGTGAATGGGAAGAAGAAGAAGATCATCATTAAATGAGTTGCTGGCTAGCATTTAGGATCTTGCTTCTTCGTGTCTCGTCAGCTGTCATAGAAAGTTTCAATTTATATACTGTTATTCAAAGACATGATAAAAGGCAAACTGTATTTACTTGCTGCCTTTCTCTGTCTCTATTTTTGGTAATCTTTACATTTGTTAAATGTATTCTGGTGTTGGTGTCACATTTTAGCCAAAAACGTTGACTGCCTCTTCTGTTGTTAGCGACAAGGTTATTTATTTTGCCAGTCAAATATATTTTTACCGTTTATCTGTACGACTTGGTGTCACCATCTGGAAAGAGAAAACCAACCAGAGATATGAATGGAGGCGGGTGATATCTGCAGCAATGATACTCAAAGGCTCGGAATGCTGAAGAATAAGAAGTCTGTACGTCTGCATTTCTCTGCCTTTATGAAGTTAAAATACTTATTGACACAGGATATACAGATATATGTTGAAATTAATTTCTATGTAAACACTCAGGCGCCCCCTCCTCCCCTACTCGCCCTCCCCACAAGGCTTTCTAGGTAATGTTTGGGGGGGGGGGGGGGAAGAACAGACCCACTTCTCCATTAACAAGCCTATCAGAAAAGATGACTAATTAGGACTTTGCTAAAATCAAATGCTTTGGGCTGAAAAAAGCACTGATATTGCAGCCTAGCTGTAAATCACAATACAATGTGCCACCTGCCCTTTTAGGAGTGATCACTGAAGAAGGAGAGTTCTGTTTTCCCCCAACATCTGATAAGAGCATTTTATTGCATAACATATTGTCATCATTAGGTACTATGTCAGCAGATGTGGCCATTTTTGCTTTTACATGTCTTATGATCTCTTCATTAGCATGTATTAGTTTATAGGCTGACTCCCATACACACCATGACAAATGACTGTCAAAAATCTTCTCTGCTTGCCTTTCTTTCCATCAAAATGTCCAGTTGTCACATGTTCTGGTTTTTCTCTTTTCTCATAATGGCAAATACATGAGGACAATATGAAAAGCATGGTTTCTATTGGATAAATAAAACAGTGGACGCCTCTGTTACTTTTTCTTAAACTTTCGACTGAAATATGTTACATGTTATTTGGGACAGAAAGGGTTTCTTCTCTGCTTTTCATCGGCTCTGAATTCGTTATGTTTGTACATGTACTTCTAGCGCTATAGTCTTGTTCCAGGACCAGAATTTTGTAATCACATGCATTTTACGGATTTGTCTTGTTTTTTCTGCAGACTGTTTGTTACACACCTCTCAAACAGATGCACTTTGAATTTGTAGGAAACGCCCCATAAATGAAATAGTCGACTCTTACAAGATGCTTGTGGGGGGGCAGTGAGTCGGTTCTTCATGCTCCCTGCAGTTCGGCCCAGAAACCCACACAGGGGAGAGAGTTTTCAGTGTTCAGTGAAAAAACAAAGTAATATAGTAAAGGGTACTCATAGTGCTCTTCTGCCCACCGGGCATATAGAATTAGATTTATATTTATAAATTGTACTCATAGTGCCTTCTGCCCACTGGGCATATAGAATTCGATTTATTGATTTATATTTATAAAGGGTACTCATAGTGCCTTCTGCCCACCGGGCATATAGAATTAGATTTATAGATTTATATTTATAAAGTGTACTCATAGTGCTCTTCTGCCCACCGGGCATATAGAATTAGATTTATATTTATAAAGGGTACTCATAGTGTCTTCTGCCCACCAGGCATAAAGAATTAGATTTATAGATTTATATTTATAAAGTGTACTCATAGTGCCTTCTGCCCACTGGGCATATAGAATTAGATTTATATTTATAAAGGGTACTCATAGTGCTCTTCTGCCCACCAGGCATAAAGAATTAGATTTATATTTATAAAGTGTACTCATAGTGCCTTCTGCCCACTGGGCATATAGAATTAGATTTATAGATTTATATTTATAAATTGTACTCATAGTGCCTTCTGCCCACTGGGCATATAGAATTAGATTTATAGATTTATATTTATAAAGGGTACTCATAGTGCTCTTCTGCCCACCGGGCATATAGAATTAGATTTATAGATTTATATTTATAAAGTGTACTCATAGTGCTCTTCTGCCCACCGGGCATATAGAATTAGATTTATATTTATAAATTGTACTCATAGTGCCTTCTGCCCACTGGGCATATAGAATTAGATTTATAGATTTATATTTATAAAGGGTACTCATAGTGCTCTTCTGCCCACCGGGCATATAGAATTAGATTTATATTTATAAGGGGTACTCATAGTGTTCTTCTGCCCACCAGGCATATAGAATTAGATTTATATTTATAAAGGGTACTCATAGTGTCTTCTGCCCACCGGGCATATAGAATTAAATTTATAGATTTATATTTATAAAGGGTACTCATAGTGCCTTCTGCCCACCGGGCATATAGAATTAGATTTATAGATTTATATTTATAAATTGTACTCATAGTGCCTTCTGCCCACTGGGCATATAGAATTAGATTTATAGATTTATATTTATAAAGGGTACTCATAGTGCTCTTCTGCCCACCGGGCATATAGAATTAGATTTATAGATTTATATTTATAAGGGGTACTCATAGTGTTCTTCTGCCCACCGGGCATATAGAATTAGATTTATATTTATAAAGGGTACTCATAGTGTCTTCTGCCCACCGGGCATATAGAATTAGATTTATAGATTTATATTCATAAAGGGTACTCATAGTGCCTTCTGCCCACCGGGCATATAGAATTAGATTTATAGATTTATAAAGGGTACTCATAGTGCCTTCTGCCCACCGGGCATATAGAATTAGATTTATAGATTTATATTTATAAAGTGTACTCATAGTGCCTTCTGCCCACCGGGCAAATAGAATTAGATTTATAGATTTATATTTATAAAGGGTACTCATAGTGCCTTCTGCCCACCGGGCATATAGAATTAGATTTATAGGGCAGTCGGGGCTTGTGGGTGCTGTGGTCATCATTTAACTGTTAACATTAGACATATTCTATTCTTTCAAGGATTGAACAGGCAAACATGTTCCCTTTCAGATGAACTGAGAACAGTCAGATGCCAGGAGGGCAGGCCAACTAGAAATGCTCACCAAAATCAGTGCAGTAGACAACGAATGTCAAAACAGTAAAAATTTCTGTATTCAAGCCAGTGCAATTATTTAATGATTAGGACAGTAATTTCAGGATTCAACTGAAAAAGTAGATTGGACATTTTTTTAAAATATATGGAGAGAGTCAGTTGTATATTAATTTTTGTTCTTTCAACTTCAGGTAGTCCTATGTCACCTCCAGTGAGTCCAGTCGGTAGTCAACCACGCAGTGCTTCTGCATCACCAGCCAGATCTAGATCAAGATCACAGTCAGGTTCCCGTCAAGGATCTAGGTCAAGAAGTAGGTCAGGTTCAAGACAGAAGTCAAAATCAAGAAGTAGGTCAGGTTCCAAACGGGGGTCAAGATCAAGAAGCGGTTCAGGTTCCAGACAGGGGTCAAGGAGCAGGTCAGGTTCAAGGCAAAGGTCTGGATCAAGGAGCAGGTCAGGGTCAAGGCAAGGCTCAAGGAGTAGGTCAGGGTCACGGCAGCGGTCAGGGTCAAGGAGCAGGTCAGGATCTAGGCAACGGTCTGGGTCAAGGAGCAGGTCAGGTTCTCGGCAGAGATCAAGGTCAAGAAGTCAGTCTGGTTCAAGAGGGTCACGAAGTCGATCCAGATCGGTATCGCCAGGTGAGTTGAACAGACTACTTCATTTTACAGATACATTAGCTAACATTTGTTGTCAAGGATGTCAGATTGATGAATTCGTCCTTGTGCATTTCATTCATGATTAAGGTAAGGAACTATTATTTGAAGGAAATCTTAAACTTGATAGCACACTGATAATGATCTTGCTGTTTTCTAGTGCCCTTTATCCTTTAGGGAATAGTGGGAAAATTTTCTCCTACAAAAATTGTAAAATTATTTGGGGAAAGTAAATAGGAGTCTGAATTTCGGACATGCCTCGCTTCACCCAAGAAAATCTCCAGAATGAGCAAGTTCAGTATTCGAATAATGGGAGATGAACATGCAAAGAGATTGGCTGTCCCACTTATAGTGTTTGATTTACCTGATGTATGACAAGCCGGATCTGGTCAGACCCTATAGAGGCACGTGTAACAATGTGAAAGTACAAAAAGATCATTAGTGTATAAAGAATGGTGCGGTGGGAGTGACCAGGAGATCTTGCCAACACTCTGCACTGGTACAATCAGAATTGAAACTCTTAGCTTGCTGCTGAAAATTAGGACAAAGAGCATATGGAAATATCCAAGTGCTATGATTTTGGTTCTTGACTCACCTTATAGTCTGTGGCCTTGGTAGTCATATTTTCCCACAACCTTCTGTCTTAAGTACTTTCAGTCACTTCTGACAGATAATCATCCATGTCAGACTTCTTCTTCGCGTTCATCAACTGTAAAATCTGGCATAAAGTTCTGGTTGTTTGTTCACTTCTGGACTGCAGTCCTGTTCCAGAACCTGAGTGTTGTGTGCGCATCTGTTTTACATGTCTGACCTATTTGAATGCAGACTGTTGGTTCCTTGTTTCTAAGGCAGATGCACTCTGACTTTGAAGGAAGCTCCCAATTAGTTGACTCTTAAGACATGCAGGAAGTGGGTATATTCTTGTTTTCTTTCTTCCTATATATAATAGGGCAAGGAACCCACACAGGGAGATGTCAAACTGTCCAGCATTTTCTTTCTCTGTCTGCCTCTTTGCCCTCCAACTCTTTCTCAGAAGATGGTTAACAAGTAATTATTGTCATTATTCATCTCCTCCACGCTCTCAGCACAGGCTCATGACCAGTTCCTGACATACTTCTTCTTCTTCTTGGTGTTCACCGGCTGGAAACGCCAGCGGAAAGTTCTGGTTGTTCATCTGTCTCTGGACTTTAGACTTGTTCCAGGACCTAAGTGTTGCATGCACATCCATTTTACAGATCTGACTTATTTGTATCCAAACTGTTGGGTCCTTGCCTCTTAGGCAGATGCAGTCTGACTTGGAAGGAACCCCCCAATTAGTCGACTCTTACTTACTTATGCTTGTTGGGGAGGCAGTGGGTCTGTTTTTGTTTTCCCCACAATGAGGCCCCAGAACCGACACAGAGACTACCTGACTTACTGTCTATCTACTGTGTCATCTTCTGCACCTTACTTCTGTGGTATTCATCTAATGTGATTCCCTACCTCTAAGGTGGTAATGACATGTTCTGTGTTGTTTTTGACAGGGTCATCAAGGCAAGTCTCTGACAAAGAAAATGACAGTGATGATGAAGGGTAACGAATGTCTTGAACTTCCTGTTTAATTTTATTTTGTGCTGAGTCAATAACAAATTTGTATTTTTGTTATGATTCTTGTTCAATCACAGAACCAGTGTCGGCATTTTTGCACTGTTTATGGTTTTACTGGGCAATTTTATGTTGAGAATAGTTTGCCGTTGCTTACTCAATGGTCAGCTCTCGATACCGCTAACAAAACCAACACAAGGCTGCAGATCGCCAGCAGCTGGGTTTGAACCCGGCACCCCAGATTTATGAAGCGTGGTCGCAGTGCCTAAGCCACAGACAGTGACAGCAGAAAACTGATAGTTAAAATGTTAAATCAAATCTGATCTGTTTTGTATGGGCAGTAAGCTGACAGTATGGGAAATATCTAATGACAATAAAACAACATATGACCAACTATCGGCCAGACACATTTTTCTAAATCCCCCCCCCCCCCCCCTATTTAATTTTTTTTTTTAATTTAAACAAAAACACACAGGTACAGTGGTTCAGAAAAAGCCTTGGAATCAAAAGATAATTGCTAAAGAAGTAATTAACAAAAATGACAAGTGAAATTGTGTGGCCATTAAAAAAAAAAAAAAAAACCAAAACACTCATAAATACTAGGGTGCTTCAGGAGGGGCAGGGATATAACAGTTTTTAATATCATTTTTTTTCTTTTGTGGAAACAATAACAAACAAATAAATAGGATCAGGAACTTCTGGAAATGAAAACGAAAGTTGCTGAAGGGTGATAAGAAGAGACAAGTGAAATTTCTTTCTTTCTTGCCATATTAGAAAAAAAAATCAGCACGCAACGCTGTTTTAAAAACCATACTGGAGGTAAGGTGGAATTCGGGCAGACAAGAAGCAGACAGCGATACAAGTGTCATTATGACATCAAGGGATGGACAAACAGCAGTCTCAAAGTGTACTTTGAGGTTGAAAGACAGAGAATGTTGGAAATCCATTGCAGCCAATCTTTATTGTTGAGACGGCACCTGATCGATTGATTGATCTCCTTGTTTAACTTTGAGATTCTAACACGCACAGTGTTGTAAATATTGTGTTTTGTTTTCAATTATACATTTCAGCAAGAAGAGATCCAGAAGAAGATTAACATCAGATGATGAAGACAGGCAAGGTAAGTCTCAATATGATTGACAGTATAATGTGCAGTGAATTGTTTGTGTCCGCATTATTTAAATTAATTGAGGAAAGACACTGTTTTGTGCTCATACAGTCGAGTCCATTTAAGTCAAATTTAGCTTAAGTCGACATGACCAGCTTAGTCCCTGCAATTTTCCTTCTTTATCTTAGTGTTTAATATCCTGATAAGTCGAATTCGGTTAACTCGAATACTTGGATAAGTCGAATCTAAAAAATTAATTTTGAATATATACACGTCCCTTTTAAGTCAAACTGATCATTATCACTATGAAAGAAAAATTTATTTCATCAAAATTTTTTCGTTAATTAGCCCGGGAAATAATGTGAAATCTCGCAGCTACAATATCTCGCTAAATACAGTTTAACACTGGCGGCTGTCAGTCGAAAGCTGACTACTTCAACTTTAAAAGGAAAGATTGAACTGTTGCAAGAGATTGAACATGGTGGGAAGAAGAGAGTGGATACAGCTAGGGAATATGGTATTCTAAGTTCGACGCTTTCTGGCATTTTAAAGCATAAGGAGCGCTACCGAACATTGTTTTTTAAAATGTAAAATCAAATAGTGATGGACAGCGCGCTAGAACAGCGACATGCGATATTGTTGATGAGGCCCTTTAAAATGGTTCACTGAGCTTAGATTGGCAAATTTATCCATGAATGGGCCATTAATTAGGGCAAAAGCAGAGGAATTTGCACGTCTTGGAGGTCAGACAGACTGGAAATATAGTGCTGGCTGCTTCAGTCATTAAAAAAAAAGAGTGTGTTTGGAGAGAAACAATCTGTTGATGAAGCAACGATTAATTCAGGGAGAGAAGATGTGCTTAAACCTGCTTTGGCTAAATATAATTCTGTACCTGTATCACAGTCAGATGTTTTGGCACACATGAATAAAATTAACATTTACACGATGCAGACTGGGTGCTTAGATGATGTAATCTCACCATTTGCTAAATATTTGGAAAGACATTTTTCTGATATTCATTTTTGCTTTAATTAATTTGAATTTAAATCATTTTGTTTTATAACTTCTAAAACTGTTTTACTCAATGATACTGCTTGGTTTTAGTGTACCTTCTCTACTGTGTGCGCTGTCTGGATAAGTAGAAGTCCTGATAAGTGGAAGCATTTTCTTTGGACCCTGTGACTTCTACTTATCCTTATGCAGACTGGACTGTATTATGTTAAATATGTTTTTTCTGTGTATTCATAAAAGTTTTGTGATTCCGTTTTATCATCATATTCTTCATGTGTGTACAAAATATAAGGTGTGATAAAGTAATTAACATGGCTGTGTTAACTGAAAATAAAATGTTGCAAGAAATAGTGGATGGGATTGTAACAAAACTTGAAAAGGAAAGTCTTATTTCTAACAGGGGAAAAAACAAACAGTGATGGTAATGGTTGAAATGTTTTTTTTAGAAAGACGAATTAAATTACTTGGGCTAGTTTGATGCAAATCACTGCGTTCAAGAATGTATGTATGTCAATAACAGCAGATGTAGTTTCAGTGCTGAATGTAGAACAACAGCTTGAGCTCACAGGTTTATTAGAATGTTCTGTGTATTGTATATTTGTAAACTTAAGTGAAATAATAACTTCTTAAGAGTTACATGTAGTCATATAGTATTGCTTGCATGGTTGCAAGTAGGGCTGTACCGAATATTCGCTTCGGGGCCGAATAGTGGACCTAATAGCTATTCGGTATTCGGCCGAATAGTGGCGGTCGGGCCGAATACAAATAGTGATTTCTGCATACACTGCGATGGACTGAAATAACTCTCTCATTAATAATGTCACAATTTATAGCCGACTTTTCTTGATTTTCGTCGCGGCACCCCTGGCACACGCACCCAGTTTTAGAACCTCTGCTGTAATGCCTTGGAGGAGTCAGCAGGCGCTGTTACCACGCAACCGGGTCGCAGTTTTCCCCGCTACGACAGATTTAGGCAACGCTACTGTTGTGTTACAGAAGGCATGAAGAAACTTGAAAGTGTATCTGTGTGTGTGTATGTGTGTGTGAGAGAGAGAGAGAGCATGCATTTTTTTCAATCTTTCAGGGTGTCTTTACCCAAATCAAATTGAAGATATTGTGAACGAGAATATGAAGGTGCATTTAAATTACATCGAATGAAGGCCTGAACGAACGATGATTTAAATGCGAATTTGGCACATGGATAAAATCAGATGAAAGATGCATTACTAAAATAAAAAACAAAATAGGACAGGCAAAAACTGCATTTTATAAAAAAAAAAGAACATCTTATGCAATATATCTTCATCTTGCTTGCTACATACATCCAGTTTCAACATATGGCTATGAGTCCTGGACAATCGGTAGCCAGGCCAAACAGTTTTTTGAGGCCTCAGAGATGTGGTTTTACAGAACAATGCTTAAAATACCCTGGACAGCCTAAAAAAAGCAACCACTAGGTTTTGAAAGAGGCGGGAGACCAAAGACAACTAATCACAGACATCAGAAGGAGACAGTCATCATTTTTCGGCCATCTTATAAGAAGAGTGAAAATGGAACATGTGGTGACCACTAGAAAACCATTTATGGAAGGAGAGATAGAAAAAGACAACGAGAGAAGATTCTTGACAGTCTTGTTGCATGTCATGAAGGTGTGTCAGCACACGAACTGATACATGCTGCAGGAGATCGCAGATTGTGGCGAGGCAAAATCGCCAACACCAGTCGGCAGGGCACTTGATGATGATCATACACTATTCGTATTCGGCCGAATAGTTGGTCCCACTATTCGTATTTGGCCGAATAGTGAAAATCACTATTCGGGACAGCCCTAGTTGCAAGCATCACTTCAGAAGTCCTTGGTGGTTAGCCCCCTTTGAATCTTTTCTCTGGGATATGCAGGTGTATCAGGAAATGAACAGACAGTTCTGGAACAAGACTGAAGTCCAGAAATTCCTGAACAACCAAAATTTGTTACCGGGCTTTTCAGCCGGGAAACACGAAGAAGAAGTAAAAGACATTAGGCCATGAAGGTTAAACATATTAAAAAGCGTGTTTCTTATGTAATCGCAATTAAAAATGTTCCTTCTGATGTAATCGCACTTAAAAATGTTCCCGCCTATGTAATCACAGTTAAAATGGTCCCTCTTATATTCTGATTTACAGGAGGCGGGAGTGAGGATGAAGGTGAAAAAGAGTAAGTTGTTAATTATGTTTATGCATGTAGTTACAAAATAATTAATACTCTTAAGCCTGATATCCCTGTGTGGGTTCTGCAGCCCACAGGGAATAGACCCTCTCCTTCTCAATAAGCTTGTCATAACAGATTACCTATTAAGGACTTTGAGGAATTATGCCCAATGATACTCTTTTGAAGGGCCATGGTAGTATATGGGCGAAACAGTTATTGTCTCACAAAATAAACAGTTACTGTTGATTATTTATTATTTAGCGAAATTTTCCCCCAAAATTGACCTTGGCCCCCAGGTTGACTCACTCTTCTTCTCCTCCTCCTCTGCTTCTTTCTTATGCTCACCGGCTGTAAACTCCGGCAGAAGGTTCTTGTTGTTCTTCCACTTCTGGGCTTTATTCTTATTTTAGAACGAGTTTGCATGCACATCCATTGTATGGATCTTGCTAATTTGTATGCAGACTGTTGGTTCCTTGCCTCTCATTCAGATGCACTTCGACTTTGAAGGAAACACCCCTAAGTAGTCCTCTTTTACAGCATTAGGAGGCAGTGGGTCTTCTGTCTCTCTTCCTCCTCCCCTCCCCCTCCCCGCAGTGGTGCCCGGGTACTTACACAGGAATGACCCCGTTTAAATTTGGCACTGGGTATTGTCCTGGGAAGTAAAGGCATCAAGAAGCAAGTGCCAAATGATCTAAAAAAATAAAGATCCAATGCACCAGTGGTGTGAATCATTAATTCTCTTTATGTCTAGTAGTAGTAAATGAGGCTTCAGAAAGGACTTTCCATGCTTTCCTGTCCTGTGCAATCTTCAATGTCAGAGATCCATGTCAGAGATGCTGCACTCAAGTCACTTTCCATTGTTCGTCTCCATGTTGTTTTTGGCGCCCCTGTTTTCTCTTTCCCTCTAGTATCCATGTGAGAGCTGTTTTGGCAGGTATATCAGGATTCATTTTCATGCTGTTTAGTGGTATGAATAAGGGATCCTTTATTTACTTTACTTACTAATTATTCATGTGACCCCTTTGTTGTTGAACTTGAACCGTCAGCAGCACTGTTCGTTACTGATAATCTTTCTGTCCAATCAACAGGAAAGATGAGCTGATTGCTGATATCTTTGGATCCAGCGATGAAGACGAGGAGTTTGAGGGTTTCGATGCTAGCGATGTACCAAAGAAGGATAAGAAAAAGAAAGCAGGTATGATATTTGTCGCTTTTTTGTGTTTTCTTCTGTGGTTGGTTTGTTTCTTTGTCTTCTTCTTCTGTGTTCGTTCAAAGATGTAACTGTTTGTGCCCGTTTACAGCATGGCTGTGATATTTGCGCTTTTTGGCCAACACATCTGACTTCTGTAGGAATTGGTTTGTTGGATACATTATTGTGAGCTGTGATTGGTTTATTTTATACCTTATTGTGGGCTGTGATTGGTTTGTTGGATACATTATTGTGAGCTGTGATTGGTTTATTTTATACCTTATTGTGGGCTGTGGTTGGTTTGTTGGATACATTATTGTGAGCTGTGATTGGTTTATTTTATACCTTATTGTGGGATGTGATTGGTTTGTTGGATACATTATTGTGAGCTGTGGTTAGTTTGTTGGATATTATATTGTGAACTGTGATTAGTTTGTTGGAAAGAATATTGTGAGCCGTGATTGGTTTATTTGATATAATATTGTGAGCTGTGATTGGTTTGTTGGATACTATATGGTGAGCTGTGATTAGTTTGTTGGATACTTTATGGTGAGTTGTGATTGGTTTCCTAGATGCTACATTATGAGATATGATGGTTACCAAAATGCAGCTGTCTCAAATTCTAAGAAACTCTTCTTGAATGATGCACAGAGAGTGGCAAATATCACATCTGTGCAGGTTTTAAGTAATAACAGCCTGAAAATACATTGTCTCAGAAAGGTCACCAACAGCACAAGAAGGGAATACATTGTCTCAGAAAGGTCACCAACAGCACAAGAAGGAAATACATTGTCTCAGAAAGGTCACCAACAGCACAAGAAGGAAATACATTGTCTCAGAAAGTTCACCTACAGCACAATAAGGAAATACATTGTCTCAGAAAGGTCACCAACAGCACAAGAAGGAAATAACATTTTCTCAGAAAGGTCACCAACAGCACAAGAAGGGAATACATTGTCTCAGAAAGATCACAAACAGCACAAGAAGGGAATACATTGTCTCAGAAAGGTCACCAACAGCACAAGAAGGGAATACATTGTCTCAGAAAGGTCATCAACAGCACAAGAAGGAAATACATTGTCTCAGAAAGGTCACCAACAGCACAAGAAGGAAATACATTGTCTCAGAAAGGTCACCAACAGCACAAGAAGGAAATACATTGTCTCAGAAAGGTCACCAACAGCACAAGAAGGGACATTATTGAGAGGGAGAGTTGGAACTTCTTCTGTTTTCTTCTTGTGTTCACTTTCTGATTTTCACCGACAGATAAGTTCTTGCGATAAACTTAACTAATTTTAGTAGTTCATTTTTTTTAAATTTCCATACAACTTTCAGTATGGTGTTAACTCAGGAGGCCAGTATTTCCTTCTTAATGGACTGTACAAGAGACATTCTTGCAGGACATGTTCTGTAGTCTGCACACACAGCCCACATGGGCACAGTAGTTAACTACTTAGATGAAGCCTCTGTATAATGCTTGTTAAGTTTGTTATGTCCTGTCCTGAGGCGTTTAATAATGACCTGCCCATATCGGTCAAGTAAGTGGTAGTCATCTCTGGTCAAATTTGGTTAACTTCTCCTAGACTGGATGGTCATTTTCTTCTTAAAGTATGTTACTACATTCTCTTCCTGTTCACATTCTGGCTCTTTCTTAGGAAGTTTGTCCATGGTTTCATTTCCTAAGAGTTGGAACAAGACTGCCTGAATTCTCTTGACAGGCAGAATGAAGTGGTTTCACTTGTCAGAATAAAAGTCAGACCAAACTACATAGAGAGCTTTTAGAGCAGAACATCTTGGCAGAAGATGAGAGTGACACCAAATAATATATGGATAGACAGTGTAGCTGAAACCTGCTCCCAAAAAAAAACAACACTCAAGTTGTCCATGAAATGAAAGACAAGTACAGAAGTCTGTGACACTTGTGGGATGACAAAAGAAGAAGAAGAGGCTTTAAATATTGACAGATCTTCCTTCATCATAAGATGCACTGTCGGCAGATGCAGATAGTTTCCAGTACAGAAAGGCAGTAAAGCACTTTGCTATTCAGAAAAAGATTTATAAAGTTTTATGTGTGTGGGTTCATTGTTGAATTGTTCACAGTTTACAGTACTACACACTCTTGAACTTTTCAGCAATTCAGTCAGATGATGAGAATGAAAAAGAAACATCAGGTGTCCCGTATAATGCTGAAGAGGGTGCAGCTGGAGATGATTCTAATGATGAGAACATGACTGACGTACGCAGGGATGGAGAAGGGTGAGCAGGATGTTTATGCACATACCCAAGCCTCTCTTGTGTTATTGTAATTGTACTACAGCTTATTAGTCATAATCATAATTCGACTTTTTAGCCATGTGAGCGTAAAATGTCTAATTTTATGCAAGGTGTTGTTTCCAGTTCCCAAAGTCTGTCTGAAACTATAATTTCTCATTTAGTCCCATTGGTTAAGTTGGCAGCTTTCATCATGTATCTCTCTTATAAGTGTTAATTTTACACAAGTTAGCCTTTGATAGTATCCAAGTCAAGCCGCTTAGTGAATTACAAAAGACAGTGAAGTTCATACTAGAGACTGCATTGCAGATATAGATAATTATTCCAAGTGAACGAATGATGAAGTATCCAAGTCTGGCACTGGTAGCACAGTGTTAGTATGAATATGCCTTTTTAAAATCTGTTTCTTGGTGGTCATGTTTAATGTCTTAATAATGGCATAACCTGGTATATCAGTGCACTGGCCCTTTGACATTGGTTTCTAATTCCTGTTATATTCTGCTGTCATCTGAGAATATACTTCTTAGATATTAAGTCAGTTGCAATCAGATAGACTAAATTTTTCTAACCTTGTTGATCATATCACACCCCTGTTTTGTAAGCTCACATCCATACATACCAACAAAGTCTAGCTAAGGCAAGTTACACAGCTCAAGCTTTTAAGGTTCTTTTTCTCATTTGCTTCTTCTTTTTCTGTTTTCACACTTGAAAAGGGCGGTTGGCACAGTTTTGTGGTATACAGCTAGGCTGTGTTATCTGTATGTTTTGTTGACTTCAGCAAACTGCTAATTAGTGGCTATTAAAAAAAAGGCTGTTGGGAGCAGGGGTCTGTCCCCCCCCCCCCTTCCACCAGATTAGGGCCCCCAGAACCCACACAGTGATTGCTAGACAGGTGCTCCTTCTTCTCCTCTTTTATCTCCCCGTGCAGTATTTGCTCTTAGCCAGCCCATGGCAATCCTTGTGTAGATTTGCGTGTGATTCGTTAGATTTTACAGCTAGTTATCAACAGGGTCATATAGCCAGCCTCACAACACCTCTCTTTAACTACCTTGTACTTTGTGTGTTTTGGGCCCAGTTGTTCTTCGCAACACACAGGCGGCATAAGTATTTAAATAAAATATTCAAGGCTTAGTACTGATGAAACCAGTGTTAAAGACACACAAAAAGTGCATTAACGCAACACCATTATTGTGGCTTGTTCATGGTTTAATACGTGAACCAAATGACAGGAAGCAGGTAATCTTCTTCTTCTTCGCGTTCATCTGCTGTAAACTCTGGTGGGGAAGTTCTGGTTTTTTGTCCACTTCTGGACTCTAGACCTATTCCATAAACTGAGTGTTGTGTGTTGCATGCAGACTGTTGGTTCCTTGCCTCTCAAGCAGATGTTCTTCGAAGGAAGTTCCCAATTAGTCGACTCTTACTATATGCTTTTTGGCGGGCAGTGGGTCTAATCTTGTTTTCCCCACAATGAAACCCCGGAACCCACACGAGAAGGGGCTAATAATATTTATAATAACACTTCATAGTTAGTTTTTTGCCCTTCACAAGATTTTGCAGAACCAACCCCAGCATTTTTCGGCTGTTCCTGATTTTACTTGACAGTTTTACTTTCAGTCGTATGTCTTTCTTTCTGAGCGGTCGGCTCTCGGTACCACTGCACAAGGTGGACTACTGCTAAATTGCCCACAGCTGGAATGGAACCCGGCACCTCAGAATTGCAAAGTGTGTTCCCATGCCTAAATTGTATCATGTTATTATTGAACGCTGATTGGTCAGTAACAGTATGGGTCTAGCACCCTATGTGTGATGCACCAATCATGTGAAATGGACCCTGTGCTTTAAACAATCATGTGAAATGGACCCTGTGCTTTAAACAATCATGTGAAATGGACCCTGTGCTTTAAACAATCATGTGAAATGGACCCTGTGCTTTAAACAATCATCTGTGGAAAGAATCCTTTATTTTTTTTTTAAAAAGTGTCTTGTTTAAATTCACAATGAGTAAACAATGCTTCTAATTATTGTCTTACAGAATGTTCATATCAGATTTTGATTTGATGATGCAAAAGAAGAAGGAAGAAATGCAGCGGCAACGAAGGAAACGCAAAGACGTTGATCTGATCAATGACAATGACGACCTAATAGCCGACCTCATTGTCAGAATGAAAGAGGCTGCTAATGTAAGCATCCATATAGTTTTAACTGCTTTACCAGAATTGTGGTTTGACTTCGTTCTGTTTTCAGGATTTCTCACTTACAGCATTTACATTTTGCATCTGCTACAGAACCTTGTACATTTCACAGAAATAAGAGGTGAAGAAAAGATGCAGTGCTGGATAGGACACACGCTGAGAACACTATAACTAGAATGTCTTTGCACTTGAACCCACATTTATTAGCAAGGCAGACCAAAAAAACTCACTAAGAAGGGAGCTACATAGTGAAGTTTAAAAAGAGTATATGGAGTGAGCTGCATGCAAGGATAGGACGACTTGGCTTGAATTAGTTAAAGGCCTATGCTCCATTGGGATGTAAAGGGCAGAAAAAGAAAAAAATTGACTTGATCTGAACTATAAGGTATGCAGGGATTGTTTACTTATGGCAGAACCAAAATGTTGACTTTTCGGGGCAAAAAGGTTACGGGCGAACAAAGAAGACAAAAGAACTATTTAGTAAAGTCAGGAAGTGTTATCTCTTGAAGCAGTAGCCAGAGAAAATTAGCAAGAGTATTTGTCCAGAAATTGTAAATTTAGCAAGAAGCAGTAAGCATGTTTTCAGTTCACAGATTAAACTGTTTTCATTCTGATTCACTTTGTAAGTCTGTTGCAGAAATTCATGCTTTTATTATCATTTTTGTTATAGCAAGACCGAGAGCTAAATCAAAGCAAATCTGCTGCCATAAAAAAGATCAAAATGCTGCCTTACGTAAATAATCAGCTGAAAAAGTAAGTACCTGGTATTATAGAATTTATAATCAAGTAGTTGGAAAAACACTTGAGGTCTCCAGAGATAAAGATGTGTAGAAGATATGTAATATTTCATAAAATCAAAAAAAATCAAATACAGAGGTTCTGTTGGTCCTGAAGAGACTAGGAATGGTACTACTGGTACCATCAGAATTGGAACTCTTCGCTTGCTCTGAGGATGGGGACAGCGTGCTTATGGAGGTGTACCGAGTGCTGGGAGAAATTGATTCTTCATTCAGCATTCACCATAGGAATGAAAAGAGCTGCTAAAGAAGACAAAGAACCACGTAAACTATTTCAGCCATATTAAAAGCCATAATACTCCTCTAAAACCCTTCTGAAGGTAACAGTTGAAGGCAGGCAAGAGGCATACATCGATACAAGTGGGAGGATAACACAACAAATGGACAAACTTTAGTCAGAGAGGTTGTAAAGACAAAACATGTTGCAGATCCATTGCAGCTTACCTTTATTGTGGAGACATCACTCAGATGATTGATTGAATGTGGTGAATTGATGTATTACAAGCTAGATATTGTAGGGTCCAGTTGGGGGCCAGGAAGCACAGATGGATCATTACGGTCTGAGGAGGATGATGCTGTGAGGAGTGATCAGGGGACCTGGCTGAACGCTCAAGGGAAAAGGTGAGGCGGATATACAGTCAGACTGTTGCTGGGACCTTTGGAACTGAAACTCTTTGCTTGCTGCTGAAGATGGGTGCGAAGCGCTTATGGGAATATGCAGAGTGCTGTGATGTCAATTATTACTTAAACATTAAACATTGTGAGTGTTTATGGAATCTGACCTCAGTATGTTGTAATTGAATCTCAGTAATAATATAAGTAAGAACAACTTTCCCTTACTTTGGATCTTTTATTTCACCACAACAGGTCTTCTGTGAATCATGACAATACATAAATATATATTGTATTTTGCTGTTAGGCTTCCACGTGCGGGTTCCAGGGCCCCATTTAGGAGGGAGGGGGGGAATAGACACCTCCTGTCTCCACCCCCCACCCCCAACAAGCATGTCGAAGGTGACTAATTAGGGGTGTTTCCTTCAAAGTCAGACTGCATCTGCCTGAGAGGCGAGGAACCAACAGTATGCATACAAATAAGCTAGATCTGTAAAAGGAATGTACAAGCAAAACTCAAGTTCTTCAACAAGATCAGAGTCTAGAATGGACGAGTAACTAGAACTTTCAACTGTAGTTTAAAGCCAGTACAGCCATTTCCCTCAACATCAGAAGGTAGTGGGTTTGTTTTACCGCTGTGCTGTATTGGGTTCACCAGTGCAATGTTTACAGAGACCCATGGGGATAGTCGTCATAGCTGTGATGTTCCTGCTTTGTGTGATACTCTCAGCATCTGGCTAGCCATTCTGTGGAGGAGACCGCAAGCCATATAGGATGATGACCCAGTCTCTAGACTTTGATAACCTTGTACACTGTTGATTCCTAACCTGTCAAGCACATGCACTCTTGACTTCAAAGAAAACACCAGCCGCGTATTACAGCACACTTTTTAAGGGGACAGTTGGTCTGTTCTTGTTTTAACTATTTTTTCAAAATAGAGCCCCAGAACTTAGGTAGAGAGTTATAAGACAAGTAAGGCAGATTTTTGTGGGATTAGTACTATATTCTGTAGAAAACTTCATATCCGAAGCCGCCCAACCATTAACAAGACTAATAAGGAAAAAAAAAAAACTCAGCCACTCAGCCAACCAAATAAGTAGAATCTCTTCTTTTGGAAGAGATGAGATGTGATATGAAGAACGCCACATGAAGACTATATCACCAGCTTATTGAAAAAAAAAAAAACTCTATCTCTCAAAAGATCAGTCCCAGATATCCTTTATGAGCCCTAGCGCTTCAACCACATGAGTAACACTTTTATATAGGGTTAGAAATTATAACGTTGTTGTTCAGTTGTTAAGTAGGTTGTTGTCTGCGAAATTGTTTGTGCTGCTGACTATAATGTGTTTTTGTTTCCAGATCTGATCTGCATGGTATCTTTTTGGAGTCCGGCATTCTTAGTGCCATGACAGTAAGTGATTGTTTCTGACATTTTGTGTGTCTCCTATCTCATATTGAGATTAGGCTCCAAGAGTGTATGTGTAAATTTTGTTCACGTGACTAGAGATTTGTAAGTCTGTGTACCTTTCAGGCGTCTGCATCAAGGCTGCTGAAATTTGTTTGCGAATAATCTCAGATTTGTGTGGTGTAAAGATACCAAAACACACTAAAATAGTGGCTCTCAGCCTTCCTAATGTCGCAGCCCTTTGTGTTTTCTGTTGGTCTAGACAGCCCCTGTGAAAGGGTCGTTTGACCGCAAAAAAGGATGCAACCGGCAGGTTGAGAAGCGTAGCACTAAAAACCGTTTAAAAAAAAACAACAAATGTATGTATAACTGGCAGACCTTATATTTGATCAGAATTGACATTCTTTGTTCATTACACCATTCTGTACCACTATTTTTTGGCACTCAGTATATTGAATAGCTGCTCTAGCAGCTTCCAATTGGAGCATTGAATGTCCTGTAGCGTAAACTTTGACCTCATCAGTGCATTTATTGTTAAAGTCTTTAAAGAAGAGCACAACAACAACAACAAAATCTCAATATTGTTAAGCAGGGAGAAAACTAACATACCAAACATTGGGTGTGGTACCAAAAGTATAGCTTGCTCGGTAAGGGTAAAATATTACTAAATTTGTATGAAAGTACCAACTTCAGCAGTCTTGGCCTGCACAAGTTTTTGTCTAGATACTGTCTGTATATCTGACACTTAGGTTCCCCATGTGGATTCCATCTACCTCTGTCTTATCTTGATGGTTGATCAGTATACAGGACTGCTCTGGATTGGCCTGACAGGGGGCACCACCTGTTGACTAGGAAGTAAAGATGGCAGCAGGCTGTGCAGTGTCCCGCAAACTCCCAGTGTGGGTTCCAAGATCCACAGTGAAGGCAAAAAAGGGAATTAGACTCCTTGCTCCCTTAAACAAGCATGTCATCAAAGTCAACTAATTAGAGGTGTTTCCTTCAAAGTCGGGATGCATCTGCCTGAAAAGTGAAGAACCAAAAGTCTTCATATAAATATGTTCCTGAACAAGACTAAAGTGCAGAAGTTGACAAACAACCGAAACTCTTCACCAGAGTTTATAGCTGGTGAAGCTAAGAAGAAGAGGGTTCCCCAAATCTAACCAGGAAGCTGAAAGGTGAGAAACCAACAGTCCATAAATGAATAAGCCAAATCTGTAAAAAGATGCGCATGCAAAACTCAAGTTCTGTAGCAAGAATAAAGTTCAGAATTTGACGAACATCTGGAACTTTCCCATACGTTTACAGCAGGTGTTCTGCATATCTAACCAGGAAGGCTAACCCTGTCAACAAGTGCTTGAAGAAATTACGCAGATGTTTAGACCGAAAGGCACAAAAATCTCCACCATGCTGTAAAATGGCACCTTGTGGTTACATTCTTGGGTGAGCATAGAAGAAGAGCGGTGCCCAAATATCACGTTTGGTGTTTTACATGAGTTATCAGACAATTTTGTACTTGAAAAAAAAAGAATCATCGCCTGAGCTACGGAGTGCGTGCTCTTTGCTTGATACCATCTTCAGGTGGTAACGGAGAGTGGGAAATGAGGGACAAGGAAATGGGGAGAGAGGACGGCATAGAAATATCACAACGTCTAGTTTGAGAATGGAGGTGGGGGCAGTCTCTGCTGCCTTCCGCTGGCTTCCGCTGGCTTGAGAATCAGCTGTATACACATGCCGTGATTGTAACTGACTCACAAAGCATGTTGAGAAAGGTGAAAACAGGCATGCTTCGTGCAGAGTGGCAAGCATCACTTCAGAGGTCCCGGGTAGTTAGTATGCTTTGGATATTTTCTCCAAATTGTTCCAGTGTGTTGGGAAATGAGCAGGCAGATAGACTGGCCGGCTCTGCCCCATTTGGTGGTGAACTGATGTATGACAAGCTAGATATTGTGAGGGCTTTTTGGGAGCGAGTGAACAGTGAAGAGGCGCAGATAGATCATTACGGTCTAAGAAGAATGGCAGTTAAAAAGGATGGAGTCCATGGCAGATTAGTCTGTAAAAATATGGGCGCTTTTCCCATGTGCCCGATGCGCCCAAGGCACGAAAAAGGATCTTTTCTTTTACTTTAATACCAGATAATAAACTAGGTAATACTAGATAATACTTTTGTATGAGACGACAGCATTTTCATAACCAGATAATAAATATAAATAGATCAGTAATTCAAGTGCTGTTTTATGTTTTTGCTGCTGTATTGTTGATGTGTTTTATGAAAATTTGTTGCTGTAATATTGGTGTGTTTTATGATAAATTGCTACAGTATTGTAGGTGTGTTTTATGATAATTTGTTACTGTATTGTAGGTGTGTTTTATGATAATTTGTTACTGTATTGTTGGTGTTTTTTATGAAAATTTGTTGCTTTAATATTTGTGTGTTTTATGAAAATTTGTTCTGTAATATTGGTGTGTTTTATGAAAATTGTTGCTGTAATAGGTGTTTTATTGAAAATTTGTTTCGGTAATAATGGTGTGTTTTAGTAAAATGTGTTGCTGTAATATATTGGTGTGTTTTATGATAATTTGTTGCTGTATTGATAGTGCTTTTTCATTTCTGTTTTATTTAGGAGTGGTTGGCTCCTCTCCCAGATAAAAGTTTACCACACCTGAACATTCGTGAGAGCTTTCTACGCATCCTACAACAGGTGAGGAGGAATATACATACGACAGTGTAGATCTCACAACTTGTAGATATGACATGTAGACACAAATAACATGTAAATCTTATTGAGTGGCGTTTCCAGTTTTCCCTAATATTTATTAACTTTAACAAGTTCTTCACTGTGACATTTGGGAGCGGTACTGGTTTAGAGGCTAAACAGTTTGGAAAGTCATGGTTCCGGTCCTGACATAGCCGGACTTTTTTCTCTCGTCTCTCTCCAAAATGACGTCGCTCCCAGGTTTTTTGACCACATCATTGACCTAAAAAAATGTAGTCCAGTATGCCTGAAGGTATGGACAAATTCCTTTACTTTAGTATGGCAGTTAGAAAAGATGGAGTCCATGGCAGAGCTTTGAAACAGGAGGGGTCTGCAGGTCTTAAATATTGGGAACCACTGTCCCCGTGTGGGTTCTGGTGGGGATGAAGAAGAATCGACCCACTGCCTTTCTGACACGGATGTCGTAAAAGGTGACTATTAGGGATTTTTCTTCCAGGGTTGGAATGCATCTGTTGTAGGAGGCGACTAATGTGAAATGTTTCCTTCAAAGTCGAAGTGTGTCGAGGCAAGAACCAACAGTCTGCATACAATAAGTCAGATCTGTAAAAGGGAAGTGGATGCTAAACTCAAGTTCTGGATAGGGACCAAAGTTCAGGAGTGGACGAATAGCCAGAAATTTCTGCAAAAGTTTACAACCGGTGAGCACCAAGACGAAGAACAAGATGCTTCGAATGACTGTCATTGTTAATCAGAAGTTATGTCTGGTAAACATTAATGTTATGATGGATGATAATGTAATAATAAAATATTTTTTTGTCTTCTCCCAGTTCCCATCCATCCATGCAGACATGCTCAAGTCCAGTGGAATAGGCAAAGCCGTCATGTATTTGTATAAACACCCAAAGGAAATCAAAGAAAACAAAATAATTGCGGGAAAGCTAATCAGTAAGTATCTTCATCACATTCAGTGGTAGAAAACATGTAATAAAGTCTATAAAACATTCATCAGTTGTGGAAGTGGGATATATCATCTGCAGTACGCTGGAGACTTTTTCTTCTTCTTCTCACACTCACCAGCTATTACCTCCTAGTTTAAAAAGTCTTAGTTCTTCACCCACTTCTGGGCTTGAGCCTTGTCTTCAGGATGTAAGTTTTGCATGCACTTTCATTATTTATAGATCTGGCAAACAATTGAGTGGATATGTCATGAAGAAAGTGAATACATTATGAAAGAGGACACAGGCTCTTTGGGAGAGGGTGGACAGAGGGAGGCACAAATAGATCAGTACGATCTGCTGAGAATGGTGCTGGGGAAAGTTACCAGGGGATCTGGCCGATGCTGAAGGGAAAGGCGAGACAGATATACAATCAGACAGTTACTGGTACTGTCGGAATTGGAACTCTTAATTTGCTGCTAAAGGTCGGGGCGGAGTGCTTGTGGAAGTTCCTGAGTGCTATGATGTCGATTCCTAACTCTTTGAGTCCCATGGGGTTTAGCATCAGAGGCCCAAGGGGTGGTAATGCAATTTTTTAAATTTCACAAGTGTAACACATTGAAACAGACCATACTAATTCAATTGCCGCACAACATACACATATACATCAAAGTGACCAGGAATTGTTGAGGAATGATTTTAAAATACAGCTACAACAAATAATTGCGTTAGTAATTAAATATTAGTAAATAAACAGACGGTATGTTTACAAAAATTAGTAAAATGAAAAAAAAAAAAAAAATTCCACTTACCACCATGGCACTCAAGAAAAACTGGTTAAAATGTATCCAAAATGAATCACAAATGATTATGAACCACTTAGTAATATATAAGTAAAATATAAACTCAATCTTTACATTAGATTTTGTAAATATACTATATTTTCGGCTTTCACCCCACGTTTCTAAATGAGCACGCCTGATATCAGACACAAAGAACTCTAAAAGAAGTTGAAATTGAGCGGTCCGCGTTTTACAACCGGTCAGTGGTAGATTAAAAACGTTTACTTGTCGCGAGTCGATTGGGCAGTGCGGTTGTAACAACTTAGCGTGTGATGCGTTCCCTGGGACTCAAAGAGTTAATTCAACATTTACCTTTCGAAATTTTTTGTTTGAAAGAGGACACTGGAATCCAGATGTTTAGTATGTTCTTTTCATATATGAAATGTTACAGAATACAATGAGCTGAAGGTGGGAATTAAATAGAAGAGATGCTTAACACAATATGCGCTGCATTGGACCCAGAAAGTTAACAAGCATTTTGTAAAAGATCTTGGACTAGATTTTAAACAAGGTTAAACAGATTAACGGATTCATTATCACCTGAGCAGATCTCTGTATGAGAATAATTTCTAGACAATCTATGATAGAGACCATGTCAACAGATGTGTTGAGCCAAAAGGTGCAGGTATCGCAGCCTAGCTGCAAACTACAACGCAGTATGCCAACCACCCTTTTAAGAGTGAATGCAGAAGTAACCATTGTTATAATGAGAAACTGACTTTTAAAAAAAAATCTAACTTGATGGGAAGAGAGCAAGAGAGAAATAGAGTTAAATTCCTGTTTGGCTTGGCCATAAACATAATTGAAACAAGAACCCTGACCTGATCTGAGAATTATTTGGGTACGAGGATGAACCATGTCTGCCGATGATTATCGTCATAGCACATAATGATGGTCGGTGATAACAAACATTGAAAGAAGTAAGACAGAACAACATACAGAATAATCAAAGCCAAAGGTGGGAGTCTGTCAGATCAAGAAGATTCGAGCTACATGATCTCTTCGACATACGAGCGAAGTCCGTTCTAACTAACAGGTCATAAGTGGAGTTGGGTGTGTCAAATTTTTAATTTTTTCAACGCTGTTTTCATTCCAGCTGTTTATACAAATTAAATAAAACCCAAAAATGCAATCTGTGAACTTATATTTATTGTACATAAAGTGGAAAATACAAAATATGAACACTATTGCAGAAGTTCTGGGAACTTTTTGAACCTACCTAGTGTAGTTATCTTTCTTTGTTTACTATTTTTATTGATGGGATTTTTGTGTAAGTTCATAAGTGGCATAGGTTGTAAGTGGAGGAGAAGCTGCTTACCCTTTCAGGGAAGTTAGAAAACAGGTTGATATTGTCGGCACCAGCTAGTTAATTATTATTGTTTAGCTGCACTTGATAGTTGACATAGAATGGTATCTTTGATAGATTTAAGGCACAATAAATATCAACAGCTTCTGGTTTTATCATATCAGTGGTAATGAGCCATCTTTAAGTTGACTTGCAAACTTCAAAAATCAGGATTTTTTTGGGTAGAGAAATCTGTTGGATTGTTTGTATTGTTGTAAGTGGCATCGGTTGTAGATCGAGGAAAATGTGCACACCCTTTCACAGAAGTTAGAAAACAGGTTGATATTGTCGGCACCAGCTAGTAAATTATCATTGTTTAACTGCACTTAGTAAAAATTGTATCTGTGAGAGATTTAAGGCACACTAAATATTAAGAAATTTGTTTTATCAGATGAGTGGTCACGACCCATCTTTAATTTGACTTCCAACTACAAAAATCTGTCCAGAGAGGAGAGAGAACAAAGGGATTATGAGCAGTTGCCCAAGAAAAGGAGAGTCAGGTAAAAGTAAAACAGTTATTAGTGTTCTGTTATCACTGACATACTTTTTACACAGCTAAATTGTATTGCCTTACACATGTGGGTTCTGGGACCCTATTTTAGAAGGAGAAAAGGACAGACCGAACTGCCTCCCCCCTCTTCCCCGACAGGCGTATAGTTGTAGTGCATCTGCCGGAGAGGCAAGGAACCAACAGTTTGCATACCATTAAGTCAGATAAGTTAAACGGATGAGCAAGCAACACTCAGGTTCTGGAATACATAAATAAACAGAGGTGACAGGTAACTATAGCTTTCGATTTTCATGTTGTCTAGTGTGTCCTTCTATCTGTCTACTTCTTTCTATGTTTACTGGTCAATACATTGTCTCTTTATTAATTATATATCTATAATAGGTTCTGGAACAAGACTAAAGTCCAGAGATGGACAAACAACCAGAACTTTCCGCCGGAGTTTACAGCCAGTAAACATGAAGAAGAAGAAAAAGATACTATATTATTTGACTGTCTCTGTTGACATATGTGTTCGGCTGTTACGATCAACATCACTGCACATTGGGCATTCCCATGTATAAGTCCTTTTATGCAGCAGCAGCAGCAGCTACCCAAAGGTGCCTCTTCTGACTTCTCCCGTACAGAGGTCGACAGTGGTGGAAAATGCTGAAATACTACCGCTTCTTCTCGTCTACAGCTTCTTTTACAGCATTGGGTGTCGAGGGAGATAAGGGTCTCATTCTTGCTATTCTCTTCATTGACCATAGCCACATCGTACTGTTGTGGAGTATTACTGATGTTATTGTTCCATGTTGATCTGCCTTGTTTTCTACCTTCCTTTCTCTGTTGGTGTAAGCGAGATACTGAACTGAGATATTTTTACTATACTTTGTTTTTTGTATCAACCTTCAAGAAATTTCGACATAGCCGTTCTTGACAACAGTTTCGTTGTTATATTTTCACTGTAAGTAATTTAAAATAAATACATTATTTTATGTTTGTTATGATATCTTAAAGTAATTTGATGTTACTATGATTTTGTAACACTGAATTTTTTTTTTAACTGTCTCTGTAGGCCAGTGCTCTCCAACCTTGAAATTGAGTTTATCTGTACTTGTGATCATCTGTACTTGTAATCATCCATTAAATTAACATTTAAAAGGTTTAATTAAAATAAAATATATTTTAAAACTATGAAACAAAATGCCAAGGAAGTGGGTGGGGGGAGCACTTGAAAAAAGTTGGAGACTATTGCTGTAGGCAGTTGCGATACAAATACTTGATCGTGTTCAATGTATCAAAAGAATATACGATATTGTACTATGCTGTCATTGGAACACTAAAAACTGTAACCAGGATAAAACGAAACAAAAAGGTTTGGAAACTGGCCACAGCTTACAGAGTTACTACAAACTAATTAACATGAACAGCCAGTTTAATAAAGAATAAATTTGATTGTTTTCAGCTTGGAAGGTACACAGACACCCAAAAGGGGGACATTGACAAGGAAATGGCAGGAGAAAAACGGTAAGTGTACATTCGATAATGTTCTTCTCCTCCCATAGTGGGTTCTGAGGCTCCAAAACAAGCTTGTCGCAAAAGGTGACTAAACAAGGTTTTATACGATCTGTTAAGCTGAGAGCTGCAAGGTAGCCTAGCTGTATACTGCAGCATATTATAACAATGCTGTTTAAATGTTGAGGGCAAAGAAGCACTAGTTCTACACAGATTCTAAACTTTGAGGGGAGAGAGAGAGAGAGAGTCACTTATTAAACTATAGTAGCTCCTGCATCTCCACCACACAGTGTTTGCTGAGTTGATCCTCTGACACCACCAAACCCCTCCAGAAGATATACTTGAGATATCATTCTCTTCCTGTATGGGTGTAAAGTTTAGAGAGGATCAGATTAACAGGGCTGCTGAGAGAGAAAAGACAAGTTGTGCACAAACACAGTCAGACATTTTGACTGTAGAGTCTTTGTCAACAGACAAAACAGCAGACTGAGGTAACAACTGGCAAGGTCTATATGAACTCGGAAATATGCAGTAGGACACAGTAAGGACAAGAAGAGCTATTGCAAAACAAAGCTTATATAGGAAGCAGATGAGGGATATAACAGTTAAATAAATAAATAACTAATAAATAAATTGGATGAAGGTGTGCTAAAAATCCATTATATGGTCAGGATTGCACAAGATAGAATAAACAAAGATACTTTATTTTCAAAGGGTTGAGAATTGGGCACACCGGCCCATCTTAGATTTGTAGACTGTGAGCCCTACACCATAATCATCATGTGCCCTGCCAACTGGCGTAGGCACTCATGCGTCTCCACAGATCACGATTCCTGGTTAACTGGAACCGATCCACACAGCACTTTCTTTTGGGGACTACTGAATATTCCCGCAGCACATGCAAGACATGTCCTTTCGTTGTCCAGACTTCTTCAGTCAGTTTCCCTTATGGTTCTTTCCTAATTAGGAAACTTTTTACTTGCGAATCCCGCAACGTAATTTATGCAACCTGCAAACGATGCAGCAAGGCATACATTAGGAAAACTGGCAGGAAGCTAGCTGATAGTTTCCTGGAACACCTCTCCGATATTGACAAGAAGACACTTAAACCTATCCCTCTCCACTTTAACAGTTCTGACCACAGAGGTAAAGATGATATATCTGTCATAGCATTAAAATCTTGCTCTGGCGATCATACTACGCGCCTCGCTTTGGAAAATCACCTCATCCACAGCCTAGGAGTTTTTAGTCCAGGCGGTATCAATATGCAGCATACCTTCATCTAAACAGTTTTACTCTTTTCACATTTTAAATGTTAATTATTTTCTTTTCTTTTCTTATTATTTCTTTATTCTATTTCTTATCATTATCATTTATGTATCATTAAAATTTGTATTTCTTTTATTCCCACTATTATATTATATATTAAAAATATTACTTTTTATTTTTTTGGCGACTATATTTTTTTAGCCATTGTTTATTTTATTTTATTTTATTTCATTTATTCCACATCACATTTTTTTAAAAACTTTGCTCAGGTCATCCCTTAGAGATCTGTATACTCTCATCTCCTTGATGTTATTTTTGTTAAGTTTGACAATGGCGGCCCGGCCAAAACGTTACGTTATTTGTGTTCTTCTGCTTCCCTATTTTATTGAGCTTTTTAGTCAAATTTCTCTGGAATTCTTTCTATTAGCTTGACTGCAGTTTATGACTGCCCATATTTTCACCTTAACTGGAAGAGCTCTCTTAAGAATATCCCTCCATGCCATTGTTTCAGTCTATTCAGCATCATCTCTCTTGGTCTGCCTCTACCCCTTTTTCCACTGATCTTTCCAGTTGTCATGATGTTCTCCAATGTCTCTGTGAGCCCTGCATGATGTATAAATTGTGTAACACTTTAATGCTGAACATTGATCCCTGCAGGGCTGAGAATCATATTTACCTGCCTACTACCCTTCTGCTTGACTAACTGAATTTAATACCTTTAGATTGGTCTGAGGAGAATGGGGAGTGACCAGGGGGGTCTGGCCGACACTCAGCGCTTGAGATCACAGTCTAATGCAGTAGCCATAGTCTAATGCAGTAGCCACAGACTGGATAGGTTATGATTTTTAATTTTGATAATCATGAAAATGGCCCTTTACTGTTTTTTTTTTTTTTTTTTAACATTACGACAGATTACACCAGAACACCTTATATGTATATGTGCATGTGGTCATGGGTTTAGTGTGGCATTTGTCAGGTTGATATTTTTTTTTTTTAAACTTGTTACTTTAGTTCCAGGTGTACTCAAATTATTCCACTTTCACTTTATGAGGGAAAAAAAAGTTCGACCACGTTCAACCTGCTGCTAGCTAGCTGAAACTGCTAACAGTCTTCAGTTATATTTGTGGTCTGGTTTATTTGAGCCACTTTCATGGCTAAAGCTTCTAATTATTCTCTGCTGTCCATTTATATCCAGGGCTCAGAGACCGGGTGACCCAGGCTGGGTGTACAGAGCGCGTGTCCCAATGCCATCAGTCAAAGACTACGTGGTCAGACCTAAAACAAGCCAGGAGTATCAGCCCCCAACAAAAGTGAGTTTACTCATCATTATCATCATCAGTTTCTACTTTTGTCATTAAGCATCATGGAAAGGAACAGTATGCGATCTGTTTGCTCGATAGGTAACCATGGCTGTGTTATTCTGTGTCGATGTAGAAGGTCTTTGATGTCATCAGTCCATCTTCTCCTAGGGTGACCTCTTACTTTTACATTAAATTTTTTCATGTGTAACGCCTGTGTTGGTAGTTGTTCTGGCTGCACTGTAATGAGATGACCAAACCATTTGACCATCAGTGAGTTCACTAACACCCAGAAATTATGTGTTAGATTTAATGACAGCAGATGGAAGTGTTGTGATCTCCAAGGTCTGCTCCAGACTAGGTTCCTGAAGAAGAATACTTTTATTAATGTAAATGTGATAACAGAGCATGTAAGAAATGAGAAATGGTGGAGTGATCTGTTCAGAAACCTCATGACGGTCTTCAGGGGAAAAAACACACCAACAATGGATATTTGGCATGATATTAACAACACTACCAGTCAAGTGCCCACACTTGTGTACCTGTTGGGGGGGGGGGGGGGGGGCACTTTATGGGGGGGGGGGTGTTTGCATAGCAGTGGTTTAGCTGTTAATTCCAGCCTTGAAAAGTGCTGTTACGGCTGTTAAGTCTGCTAGCTGAATGTTCAAAGCTGTGAGAGTGCTAGAAGCTGTTTACAGCTGTGAGTCTGTTAGAACCTGAATGTTTCAGACTTAGAAGATGGTTGTTTACAGCTGTGAAAGTCTGCTAAAAGCTGGCTGTCTACAGCTGTGAGAGTCTGCTAGAAGCTGAATGTTCAAAGCTGTGAGAGTCTGCTAGAAGCTGAATGTTCACAGCTGTGAGAGTCTGCTAGAACCTGAATGTTTACAGCTGTGAGAGTCTGCTAGAACCTGAAGTTTTACAGTTGTGAAATACAGCTGGGAAAGTCTGCTAAAAGCTGGCTGTGTACAGCTGTGAAAGTGAAAGTGCTGGAAGCTGAATGTTCACATCTGTGAGAGTCTGCTTGAAGCTGAATGTTCATAGATGTGAGTCTGTTAGAACCTGAATGTTTACAGCTGTGTGAGTCTGCTAGAACCTGAAGTTTTACGGGTGTGAAATACAGCTGTGAAAGTTGTTTAGAAGCCTAATATTTACAGCTGTGAAAATAAGACTGTTAGAATCCAGATGCATAGTTATGAAAGTCTGTTACAAACTAGATGTATACAAATGCGAAAGTCAGACGCTGGAGTTAGCACTTCTTCTTCTTCTGCCTTTCTACCCCCCAATGGAGCATAGGCCCTCAACCATCTCACGCCAAGTCGTTCTATCCTTCGCCATTGCTCTCCCCATGTCCTCCCCATCTTTCTAACTTCATTCTCCAGCTCTCTTCTCCATGTGTTTTTTGGCCTTCCTTTATTCCTATGCCCCTGTTGGTTCCAATGCAAAGATATTCTAGTTATGCTGTTCTCCTGTTTTCTCAGTGTGTGTCCTATCCAACGCCAGCATCTTTTCCTCACCTCTTGGTCCACTGGAGCCTGTTTAGTTCTCTTCCAAAGTTCTACATTAGTTATTCTATCATATCATTTAGTTCCCTCTATTCTGCGCATGCACCAGTTAATGAATATCTGTAATTTATTAGTAATTGCCTTGGTTGTTCTCCATGTTTCCGCCCCATACAAAAGTACTGATTTGACATTAGAATTAAAATTTTTTTAGTTCAGTATTTCTTTTAATTTCTTTTTTACCTCCACAAATTCCCTAGTGCTATGAAAGCCCCTCTTGCCTTTTGTGGAGCTAGCACTAGTGATGTACAAATTAGGCTGTAGTTTGTATATTCTCATGTTGAAAATGTGATTTCTTTTTCAGAGTTCCTCTAAAAAGGCAGTTGGGCGATATGAAAAACACAAGCGAGCATTTTTGGAGAAGAAAAAGTACGGCAGAACAGCCAAGGCGGTGGCCATCAGCATAGAGGGACGAAATATGGCTTTGTGAAACAGAAATGGACTTTTCCTTTTGATAAGAGGAGTGGGGTAATGCATTATGAGGCAGACAGTTATGTACAAGGAGTGAGATGTAACTTTTCTGTTTGGCTGCCATTAGAGCGGATTCTCTATGGAGATATATCAAGACTTTTAACAACTTTTTTTTGGGTTGCCTATTGAAAAGGATCTCTTGTGACAGGGCCATTCAGCGAAGTTTGCCCAGGGGCCATCATCATCATCATGTAGCAGGTCCTTTGCAGAACGTCGCTCTCATCACAGTTCTGCCTGAAAGAAACTCGGTCTCTCTCCAGCTCTCCCACCTCATGTACTTTCAAACTCAAGGAGTCACTTATATCCTGTACCCATTTTCGTGTCGGTCGGCCCCCTGCCCCTCCTTCCTGGTATCATGCCTTCTGCTAGAATTTTTTTTCCAATTCGTTGTGGCGCTTGATATGACCAAAATATTTCAGCTTCTGAGACAGGATGCTGTTTATTGATGTTCAGATCTTTCAAGATGTCAGTATTTCTCCTCTTTTCTATCCAAGATATTCTGAGAATCTTTGTATAGCATTTCAGCTCAAAGGCCACTCAGGGGCCAGAATGTTGAAAAAACTGGGGACCTTTGTGGGCTAGAGCCTAGAGTCCCAGCACAGCAAAATCAATAATATAACACACTTGTCAGGTGATCCGCGGGCCACTTACTTGGCCTCCATGGGCCGCCAGTTAAATAGCCCTGTCCTATGATAATGAGTGTACAGGCGTAGGTATATGGATTGGCGATTCTATAAAGAAATGCGTTACAGATCAAGTTTATATGTGTGTCTGTGTGACAGACGGCTGTGTGAATTCCTAATGAGAGTATATCAAGACTTTCAAACGGGTTGTTGTAAGATCATGCATTTAAAGGCATGTGGATATCAGTTGGCAATTCTATAAAGAAATGTTTTACAGATTAACAGTTTGTGTAAAGGGATTCACATGTAAAGGCACATGGTTGGGATTGGTAATCCATGTAAAGGAATGTTCTAAATTGACAGTTAAAAATAAGGGTTATGGATTGATGATCTGTTTAAAGGGATGTGTTATGGACTGGTTATCTGTATAAAGCAGCGATTTTCAACCTGTGGGTCATGACCTTTTCATCGGTTTCACTTAAGAGAATTGGAAAACACATATTCACGCATATTCTCTGAAGTTATGAAGTAGCAACAAAGGTAATTTTATGGTTGGGGAATCACCACAACATGAGGAACGGTATTAAAGGGTTGCGGCATTGGGAAAGTTAAGAACCACTGGTATAAAGGAATGTTTATATGTATTGATGATCTGTTTAAATTGACATTGATATGGATTGAAAATCTATATTGTTTGTTTGTTTGTTTTAGTATCCAGAAGCCATGAGTTGTTAACCCTTAGGCTCGGTATTATGGATATCGCAACCTTTCGGCCTTGATTCCATTGTAAATACCGTAAATCTGGGAGAAATGTGGCTTTTCTGCCTACCCCCGGGAGTGAACCCGGACCACAAGGAGTACGTCACCCGGTCTCCACGCCATCCGGTTTAGCCAGCTACTAGAGAGCAGGGCGAAAATCTAAATAAAGGGACGTGGATTGACTGACTGAATAAAAGGTTGTATTGTTATAGATTGGCAGTCTGTATAAAAGGATGTATTATATTATGGACTGACTGTTTCTGCAAGAGGATGTGGGCATGAATTGACATTCTGTATAAGAGGATGTGGGTCTAGATTGACATTCTGTATAAGAGGATGTGGGTCTGGATTGACATTCTGTATAAGAGGATGTGGGTCAGGATTGACATTCTGTATAAGAGGATGTGGGTATGGATTGACATTCTGTATAAGAGGATGTAGGTCTAGATTGACATTCTGTATAAGAGGATGTAGGTCTGGATTGACATTCTGTATAAGAGGATGTAGGTCTGGATTGACATTCTGTATAAGAGGATGTAGGTCAGGATTGACATTCTGTAAAAGAGGATGTGGGTATGGATTGACATTCTGTATAAGAGGATGTGGGTATGGATTGACAGTCTGCAATCTGTGTAAAGTAATATGGGTATAGATGTGAACATCTGTACAAATTGTCCACCCATTTTTATTAGAGTCAATCCTAGTCCTGCTTCTTGTGACATAAAAATAATCCTACCTCTACTGTTAACTGACAAACAAGACAACGAGGGTATTCAATCCGAGTTAAGAAGCGCAGCTAGTGTTTCAGTAACTGGTTGTTCAACCTGCGAGTATGTGAGTCAGATAGCTTATACCCAGTGGTGTCTGAAAGCAATGGGATGCTGGCTGTGTGTATAAATGTTGTCTGTCCTGACAATGAGCACAGCTACCAGCCCCCTGGTCTGCCTTTAAGACTCTTCCTTCAGGAGTTAATTTCTTCCGTTTGGCTGTTGTTTGGTCTGCTGCATACAGCATTCTATTTCGGGTTCAAGCCAGGCTCGTTCACAATAAGGGTCGTGACAGTAACCCATTCCTCTTGGATTTTGTCAGCTATCTAGATCTACATTTTGATGACATTGTAAGGAAACAATTGTGAGCACAGACTGAGGGGAAGAGAGGCACAGAGAGAGAGACCGAGAGAGAAGATGCTGGGCAGTTTAGTCTCCTGGCAGGGAGGACAGTCTGTATCAGAAATGATACTTGTTAGGTCGTTGATCAGCATGACTACCGGTCATCTCGTGTCACACAGCATGGGATATACGGTCTGAGGAGAATGGCGCTGCGAGGAGTTACCGTGGGATCTTGGCGACGCTCACCACTTGAGGTAAAGGCGAGATGGATGTACATTCAGACATAAGTTACTGGTGCTATTAGAATAGGAACTCTGCGTTTGCTGCTGAAGATGGGGATCGAGCGCTTATGGGATTTTCCGGAGTGCTGTGGGTATTGATTCCTAATTCAACGTTCAGCATGGGCTGGAACATCATATCAGACTAATGAGCGCTAGAGTGGAATAGTTCTGAGCTTTACAAAAGTGAAGGCCGCTCAACATCCCAGCGACCCATGGGGCAAACCAGGCTAGACTTGAATTCTTATATGGCCACCTTAACTTTCCAGGTCTTTACCTTGTACCCATTTAAGACTGGTTCAGTCTGGAAGCCAAGGCTAGGTTAAAGAAATAATCTGCCTTCCTGCATATTTGAACTTATGACCTATAGATGTACAGACAAGCGTCTAGCTACTACACCATAGTGACTTCCTGTCTTCTACATTTATCTTCAAAAAGGTGGTTAGCACATCACATGGTTTATATAGCTTGGTTGCAATATCTGCGTGTTTTAATCAAACACATCCCTGTCAACAAACCTTTTATTAGTCGTATTTTACATGTTTAAGTGGTGACAAGCTATTTTTGTTCTCATCATCACGTAGCAGCAGATCCTTTGCAGAACATCACTGTCATCATGGTGTGCCTGAACGAAACTCTGCCTCTCACCAGCTCTCCTGCCTCATGTACTTTCATATTCAAGGAGATACTTATATCTTGCTATCATCTTCATGCTGTTTGGCCTGTGCCCCTCCTTCCGGTTACCATGCCCTTTTTTTCTGTTCCTGAATTAAGGAGCCCATTTGGGGGGGGGGGGGGGGGGCACTGAAGATTGAACATGACTACTTGGCCAGCAGGCATGCTAGAAACTTGGCTGTCTTGGTTGTCACAGTGGTTGTATATTGTAAAGCCTTGTAGATTAACCTGCAGTACTTTTTGTCAGCGAGATTATGGAAATTTGACCTTGCTTGAGGGAAAACTATTACTGCTCAAATTTGTTGCTGTGTTAAAATCAGAGTGGAGGAGGACGTAGAGCAAGAGGTAGACCAAGAACAAAATGGGAAGATAACATCAGCGAAACTCTACAGCTCCACGATGTGTCTATGGTTGAAGCCATAGACACCCGGAGCGGGTAAAAGAAGATGTAAAGAAGAATGTCAGAGAAAAGTGCGAGTGAAGGCGAGCCAAGTCATTTCTTGTGAGACTAGGAAGGCTAACCTGGGCAGCGGATGCCTGCAGAAGTCAGCCAAAAGGCTGCAAATATTGCAGCCATGTTATAAACTGGTAAAACATCACATTTACATTTAGATAAATGCTGAAGATTTCTTGTAAAAAGAATGATAAGACTGACTATTGTTTTTGTGTATAAATACTCTGTTCCATGATCGTTACACATGATTCCAAAATGATGTATTTCACCTTGCTCTGTTTGAAAGTGCTATCCTTCCTTGCTTGCTTGTAACTTGAGAATAAAGATGTTCGGTGGAAATTTACAATCATTGAGTACTACATTTCATTAACTTGTTTTCCAAGAAACTCAAGATTTGTAGACTCATTAACACAGCTATGTACTTTGAACACATGACTTGAGTCAAGACGCGACATCAATTGACTTGAGCTGAGTCAAGATGCAACATTACATGACTTGAGCTGAGTCAAGACGCGACATCACATGACTTGAGCTGAGTCAAGACGCGACATCGATTGACTTGAGCCGAGTCAAGACGCGACATCACATGACTTGAGCTGAGTCAAGACGGGACATCAATTGACTTGAGCTGAGTCAAGATGCGACATCACATGACTTGAGCTGAGTCAAGACGCGACATCGATTGACTTGAGCTGAGTCAAGATGCGACATCACATGACTTGAGCTGAGTCAAGACGCGACATCACAGCACACACTGAAATTTCTATAAAAGCTCCTTCCTCATTTTCAGCAGCCAGCAAAGAGGTCAAGTTCTGATAGGACCTTTTTGCTGTGTCATTATATCTTTTGCTTTGAATACCTGTTCCCCATATGGGTTCCGGGACCTTATTGTGCGAAAAAACAAGAATAGATCCACTTCCTCCCCAACTAGCATGTCGTAGGAGTCGACTGATTAGGGACTTCCTTCGAAGTCGGAGTTCATCTGCCCTAGTGGCAAGGAACAACCAGCTGCACACAAGTAAGTCAGTAAAATGGATG